AAATCCAAGAACAATAAAAACAGTTAAAAACATACAACTCAGGCAGCCTGGGCTAAATTAACCATAACAAATACAGAAAACAACAAGGGCCCCACAAACACATTAACCATAGACCCAAGACAGGTCTTTAGGGCTTTTCAGAATGCCACAAGGGAGGGCACTGGCTGCATTTCTGGGGGGATGCCATTCCAGATGGTGGGGATTGCAACAGAGAAGGCAGGCTTCCTCGGTCCTGCAAGATGATAATGTTTAGTAGAGGGGACCTGGAGCACACCCACCCTGATGGAATGTACCAGGCAGGCAGAAGCAGTTGAAGATAGGTGGTCCCTCAGATATCCACACCCTATGCCAGTGCAGTCCGATGTCTTCACAAATAACATTCACAAAAGACTCCAAAGAGTGCAATAAATACCAGTATATCAAAAAAGAACCAAATAACATAGTAATGTTTTGTTTCCTGAAATTAACTCAAAGCTCCAAGAGCCAGTGTCAACCCAACCAGCACAGAGAATATTTTTTCAGGGAAAAAAAAAATCCACTGTTACTGGCTTGCTGAAGTTAGGTGTGCATGTGCACTCTGTGCATATCATTTTGTCCCACTGATTGTAGAATTTTCAGATGAATCCCTCTACAAATCAGGTAGTTTGGTAACTAGATAAGCTCAGAGCTGAGCTACTTGTTTATTTGCACTCAACATGCATCTCTTAGCTTATGTGATCTAGGGACTTACATCAGTATGACTTGCTAATGTGAGGCCGTGACTGGCTAGGCGAATTAGGGATAGTACTCATTCCTTACTGTCAGTCTTACATGCATGGTAAACATTGGTCAGGTTGCTACCAGCAGGCTAAACCTTACTCTTCCTCCAGTGTCAGGACAAGAATGTCTAGCAAGCACTGACTTTATGTTTAGGAAGACAAGTTGCTTATCAAATCAGCATCTGGGCCTGAATGAAGGGCTCTCACAATATCACCTGCCTTAGAGAATACCCTTTTATTCATTATGCTGATTGAGGGCAGATAATATACTGCCAGGCAACAGTTGGTAGAGCTTAATGTTGGCTTTCCAAAACTGAAAGAAGTCTCTTACTTTGCTTTCCTCTGGCTTGCTCAGAGAGTTCAGAGCAGAATAGTTCACTGCTGCTCCCTGAGCCAACAAGACAGACTTCTTTTCTTCCTGGAAAAGTTCCAGGCACATTCATGCAAAAAAAATTGGCATGCCTACCAAGGAAAATCCCATTGCAGAACCAGTGTACGGGCTTCTGATGCTGATGGTGGAACATCAGTCTCAACCCTTCTCCTGGATTTGGTCTTCTTTCCTTTGCCTGAGCTGCTTCCACAACGAGAGATTTTCTCTATCGGGAGACAATCCTCTTCATTCTTAGGTACACAGGACAGCAAACACAAACGTTTGTTGGATAACAAGCACTTCAGATGGTGTTTATCCAAAACCTTTCCTAAGAGAGAAACCAATGACAGAAAGTAGCTCAACACGGCTAACTCTAGACTTAAGAGGTTTGTCCTAGTGAAGAATGGCTGGAGGGTAGAAAAAGCTCAGCTGCAAGCGGACTCATTCATGGCCACTTACTCCTCAAGCAGCTGCTCAAACAGGAGGTAGGCGAAATTTCAGAGCTTGAGGACATCAGGTGTCAGGGCAGACAGAGCTCAATCCAGCACAGAGTGTTACAGTTTCAAGACAGTGCATCTGATTTAAGTTGTCTTTTGAATGTTGGCTTCACTGTCCATGCCTGAAGCCATGATTGAAACTACTATTTCAGTTGCAAGAGGCACTCCAATCATATCAGAACAGCAGGGAATGATCAAAATAGTGGCACTGAAAGCAGGAGTTTTTGTTCCATGCTTGAATCAAAACATTTGAAACATTTATAAAGTTCCAAACATTGAGCACCCAAAACAGCTATACTCAAAACCATTTTGTCCTGAGTATAAGGATGCATATGGAATGCATATGGAACAGAAATTGCCCATGGTTGGAACTTCCTGCTACCTACATTTTTTAAAAAATAACCTGAATATGGATTTTCTAAAGTAGATGTCCTCAGTCTTTCACTGTATGAAATCAGATGGAAAACAATTTTTGGTATGAAGGGTTGAGAGGAGAGCACAGAGAATGACTCTGTATTTCTGCTCAAATTCTTCATTACATCCTTCTCTTTCTCAATCATGCTTTGCTAGATTTGAATCTTAAATATTCTGAAGGGCGATGCTTCCTGCTCTTCTCCAATTTCTGCATCTTTTACATGCTGGTGTACAACCTCTTGTTTTTTTCATACACAGGCCAAGTGCAAGTGCATTGCTGAACCATTCTTTTTTCAAACAGGTAAGCTGGTTTCAGCCTTGACATATTTTATCCTTTTCTCGCCCGTGCTTTAGTGGAGAGTGGGTAGGAGAGAGCAAACATGCACTGCTGCTGTTGGAACCATTTTTGTAAGTATGTGAACAAAAGGGGCCTTTTCTGAAGCTCTGTTTTGAAATTTTGAACTTAATTTGCATAATTTTTTTGCAAGTCAACTTTTGCTGATTTGGAGCAGAGGGCAGCAAGGCCTATATAATTTTAAAATCAGGAATTTTGCTCTCGTAGCACAGTGCCTTTTGGGCATTTGTGAATGAGAACTTTGGAGATTCCATCCTCGGTTTCTTATTGTCTGCTGAGTTACTGTAGAGGATGGAGATAGGAGCTAAGTGTAATCTTTGGTCCTCACAAAATTTTCCATTCGGATGCAGAACAGCTAGTTCCTGGTGATCTGTATCTGGATTGAAACATTTATATTCCAGTTGACACAAGGACCAGTCATGCCTGTTCCTCTCAGAAGTAGTTTGGGGGACAGAAAGAGAGAACAGCTAACAGGAAGAAGGTGCTAGGAGGGCAGGCTGGTTGGATAGCCACTATTACTCCTGTCCTTGGTTTCAGGTATAGCATATCCAATTGGCCCACTTTTCCCTGCTCTTTCCAGGGCATTCCTCACCTTATTTCCCTTTAGCCACCACCAGTGAAGTCCTTGACTTCATAAGGGGAGGTAAGGAAAGGAAAGCACTAGGAAGAGTGGCAGGCTCTGCAGAACAGCAGAGCAGCACACCATCCTTGCCACCCATCCCCAAAGGCCCTCCCAGATTGTTTTAGCCCAAACTCCCAACAAACAAAAAGGTTTGGTTTTGTCAAATTGCAGCAATCCAGAAGAGTTTGGCAGAATTTCCAAGAACCAAAGTGTTTGTTTGGGGTTCAACAACCTATTTTTTGTTTAGCACACACCTCTAATATAATCCAGCGTTCTCAGCAAGAGGATGCTACCCAAAGAAGTCATCAAAATGAGATGATGGCAAGAATCCTCCTCTATTTTTTTCAGTAGGTATGAAAAGAATGAAGGATAAAATTCTGATTTATTCAATGATTATCAGCATAATTAGGATGCTGTCATTATCTCTTATTCATATATGCAGAAAGCATATCCAGATATTTAAAAAATGACACTGTGCAGCGGAGTTGTACCTGAGCTTGGACTGAGTCAAATTGTAGCTAACCACATTTCTTCTAGGCTTTTAATTCTAGTGTTTTAATACGTTTTTTACTTCCCCATGTTCCAGATCAAACGTCGTGCATCTGAAGCACTTCCTGAACTGCTGTACCCTGTCATGCCAATTACCAGTTTTGAAGGGATGCAGACACAAGATCCTAGTCATATATTTGGATTGGCTTCCAATCTGGAGCAGCTTGAGATGGATGATTGGGAATTCTAGGTTACCAATAGGAGAACATTGTGAAATATTTTCTACAGACCTGGTTAATTTATTTAAAGCCCCTTCCTGTGTCACAAAGCAATCTGTTCATTACGCTGCAGTTTGTCTTCCTTGGGAAGTTGATCTAGCTGACATTTGCATTAGAACGAAGCCTGGAAATAGGCTATTGTGTGTGTGGGGGGGGAATTAATGTTGAATTCCAGTTCCAAGACATGATAAAGTAATATTCAGAGTGTATGCTGCTAAAAGATGCCAACAGCTCTTAGTCAAAGAGCATGGCTCAGTTTTTTAACCAAACCAAAATCTCTTTAGTCTTATTTTTGGTCTGCCAGTGGATCCAAGGAACTGAGTGCCATGCACTCTTTAAAAAATCCCAGTAAAGAGCCTATTTAAAATTGCTTAATAGCAGCAAGAAATCCTATTGACATAGGGTTAGAATATGAAGACACCTTGAATCTGTATCATTAACAAAAGTATTTTCTTTGGCACTCCTTTCTGTAATGAATTGTCCCAAATTGTGTAGTAAGACATCTTTCCATTCTTCTTCTTTAATTTTCTTTCTTAATCATTGTTGTTCAATCAAACATTGAGCCAAATCTTTTCTGGCTAGCTGTAGCAGTTGCAGATTGTGTGTGCTCATGTCTTAAGCTGTATTTGATAATCTAGTTTTCTTGCCAATAAAAGATTTCTGCATTTTCACAATGTTCTGCAATAAATGCTGCCCTTTATGAATTCCCTGTAACTAAAAAAATACAGCCTCTAAATTACATCTGAAAAGGGCTATTAAGCTCAATTGGTATCTTCACTACTGCAACATGAAGGATAACATTTTCTTATTAAAACAAATACAGGTAACATAGTAAAAATTATTCATTACAGGGTCTTGGTTTGGAATGGGTACAGTGCCCAGTAAATAAAAATCAGATTTAAACAAAAACTAAAAATCACAAGATAACTACTTTGGACTGTCTAAATGTCTTGAACTCCTCATACATTGCTGGCATGGTATAGGAGACCAAAGGCTCTATTGCAGAAGTTGTGAGAAGCAACACAGGAGATGTTCAGCTGACTTAATTTTTGCTAGTTATTACCTTTAGTTATTGGGGCAAAGGAAGAACTATTTTCTTTAACTTTCAAAAATACAAAGTTTTTGAGTTGCTGTTTTTATACACATAATTTTTTGGTTTTCCTTGTTAATCTTTTGCGTCCTTTTTTCCCCTTTCCAGTATATTAAAGCAATAAAAATAATGAATTGTTTTGTTTTAATAATATTCCTTACTATCTACATATAACATAAATATATCCTGGTCTATAAAGTTGTTCACAATTTATGTTGAAGCACAAAGCATGATTGATCAACTAATTTTTCTATAAATTATTTATTCTGCAATCAAATTGTTTTTCTGAAGGATGTAAGACATGAGAATGGTAAAAAAAAATGCTACTCTGGTTCTCCAGCATCTTCAGGGGGACCTTCTTCAGCCTTACATTTTTCCAGTTTTGTTACCAGTTCTGTAAAACAAAAACCGAGACAAAAAAGTGATACTTCGTAGAACAATACATACAAATTATCCAACCCCTTTCCTCTATATTCACAGGAAGCATAGTTCCTAGCACAGGATGAGAGACAAAATTAAATTCTGTGTATGTGGCACAACTCCCTACCCCGAAAAAAATGACTGAACAGGTCAGGCAAACTTTCCATAGGTTTGGAAATGTGACTTTAATCTTTTCCTTTCGTATAAGGAAGACTAGTTTTTCTATTTCCTCATCCCCTTTTTCAAAGAGGTTGATTTACTATTAATCAGTGGGGACTGCTCTTCCCGCTGAAGAGGGATCTTTTCAAGCAAACATTTCTTCTAGAACAAAACTATATTATCAAATATGAATTTGCCTACATTAGCCAGCCTGAACTTAACAATTATTTAGAACAGTATCTAGCTATGCTACTCAAGATTCACTTAGACTCAAAATTAATTTCACTATTTTCTGTCTTGCACTTCAGTGTGGAAAACAGCATATCTTTGTTATCTGTACACTGTAACCTGTCAAAGGTCTTTAATATATGTCTTGACGGAGGTAAATCCTTTATTACAGTCAATGACCAGATGTACTTCAGTGAGATATGCAATATGGCCATTTTGCAGTTGTGTCACACCAATTACGGAGTGCTATTCTCTCTGAATCTGGCTGTCCAGTTGTTCCTGTACTGCAATGCCCAGTATCACCAATGATCTGCTGAGAGCTGTGGTTCTTTAACATCTGGAGGGCCACTGGTTCTCCAGTTCTGTTCTAGAGTAACTGCCTGGTATCTATCATGGGAGTCTTTGGGACAGCATCAGCACAGATGGCCTCTTTACTGCAAATGCATTGCACCCATCCCCACTCCCAATGAACACCCCTGTTTTTGTCTGATGTAGTAACTGCAGCATAAGAAATAGCCCCTACAAAGTGAGGAAACAGAAGATGCCTGGTCATTACAGCAAACTGGACAAAACAAAAAACACCACCTCCCCTCAGGTATCTGCCTCTTGAAAAGGGAGCCTACAGCCCTTCTCAGGTAATAGGTAATGGCTATAGCAATACTAGCAAAGATAACAGATGCAGAAAGCCTGTTGATCACCAGCTCAAGAGGATTTTTGCCACTGGTTATGAAGAAACCAGTCATTAATGTTTTATCCATCACTTTGAGTGATGGATAAAACTTAGAAACACAGTTTTCCATAATAAGAGCTACAGCAAGAGAAGATGATCTGTACTGTTCCCAATGGTTAAAAAGATCTGTAAGTTACTGTAGCATTTAGGGAATCTGGAGATGCTCTCTCCTGCTGTTTTATCCTTTGTGCTCCTGGAGTTACATGCAGACCTTCTGTCCCTAAACTCATTTCTAGGTCATGATTAAGGACAAACATTTTGAGAAATACATCTAAAGCATTTTTCCAGAGATAATTTTTTTACGTACATTTAACACACACGGATACGTACATGTTTTTAAAAGCTGCATTTTTGTAACATACAAAAATATAAGCTGGCTATCATCATTAGAGAACAATATTTTCATATTTTGCTGGTATCAATCTCTCTCCAGCACAACTTCTGTATTTCTGATATTTTTATTCACACAGTAAGTTTGCCAAAAATTCTGTATCTATTTACTGAGAACTCCACCTAACAAGTGGGATTGCAATTTAGTCAAATATAACATTCGCCTATTACACTTATTAACTATATACATAGCCACCACCATACAATACCAACATGCATTTCCAATATTGGTGAAAACTCTAATCCATTATTCCTAGGCATAATTTTAGTGTTAAAATTCATGTATTATTTTAGTAAAAATATACATGTCACTGCATAAAAAAATCACATTTCAGATCAAACCATTACACATTTACTGTAGAGGTTTTTTGGCATGTTATCCTTAAGAAGGTATAACCACATCAGAGACAAGGAACCTATAATTTATATAATTTGCATTTCTACACATTCATTGCTCCCCTCCCACCCACTCCTCTTCCACCCACTCCAATTAAAAATGAAATATGGGCCAAATACCTTTGGCTGGATTGAAGACACCATTAGTCTGTTTGTCACATACATAACATCGCTGAGACTTGCGATAATGTTGCAGGGCACAGCTTTCACAAAAGTAATGTTTACACCTAAGATAACAAGACAATTAATTCCAGTACATTTCTAGCAGAGTAGTATTTTTATTGGGGGGGGAATTACTCCATTTTCAAGAAATCCTACACTTTGGACACTTCAAACATTCATTTCTTAAGAGCAGCATTACCATCTCTTGATCAGTTAGGACCATCAATATTTTTAGGATAGTACCAGGGTGTTTTTTCCATGTAATTGTACAGAAGTGTGGCAACCTGTCCGGATCTCAAAAATGCATTATTTTGTATCCTAAAAAATGAAATCCTCATAACTCAGTTTAGAAACCTCAACATTAACAAAAAGAGAATCTGATTCCTCCAGTCATCTTACTTGGTTACCACAGGGTTCTTGAAGGAGCTTCGGCAAATAAAACACTTGAAAGGCAGTTCATCCTCATCACTACTTACTTCATAATTTTCATCATCTGTATAAAAAAAAAGCATTTGCTAAATTGTGCTTCTAACTACAATGGGGTAGGCTTTATCTTCTGCCCACTCCATGTAGGAAGCTGTTCTTGCCAAAAGAGGTAACATCATCAAGTTGGATGAAAATAAGTTTACTAAAATAACCACTCAAGACAGTTGCTTCTACTCCTTCCCACCATTCTCAGATGAAGAAAGGAGGCACATATTTGTCCTTTACTTTGCTGAGAAGATACCTAGTTCTTATTGCCATCACAGGCTATCAAAATAGTTGAGATAAATTACACACATAAGCCATCTCTTCAAAGACAAGGCAGCCCACACACTCAAAGAAAAACAATTCACTACTGGCCCTAGCTCTTGATGAAGTTTTCTGAAAATTAATGCTCTGAAAACATCATAGAATCCAACAAGATGGACAGAGAATACTAACATGGCTATGTAGTTGTGCTACAATATGCATGTTTAATCATCAGTTTAAAAACCTGAAATCTTAATTAAAGTCCCTATTAAATAAAGAGAAAATTATCTATCCCTGCCCTACATGGACAGTTCCAAATGTTTTCATTTTTGATTCCTGTAAATATGAATGTGTGCATATAATCTCCAGTCCCTGCTGCACATACATACAGTACACAAACACAAACTCTACAACTGCATACCCACAGAGACACTAATCTTCAGCAGGAGGAAACATTTTTTTTCCTCAGGGAAGGTGATCATTCCTATTTCCAATCAACCAAATATCAAAACCTTGCCATCTATTATTTGTCGTGTCATATATGGATTTGAAAAACATTTTCATCATAACCAGTTACATTTGCTGAACATTGGAAGAACTACATGCACAATAAAGGGGATTGCCCATACCATTAAGTCCATAGCGTCCCTCATCCAGTTCCCGCTCAATTTGCCACCCATGCTTATAATCTGATCGGTCATGCAGAAATTTACAGCTATCTGTAAGGGGGAAAAAAAGGACAGTTAACAATGGTGTTAACAATTTCCCTTCTGCCATCAACTACTCCAAATCAATAAACAATCAGAAAGTATATGAACAACTCATTTACCTCCAAAGCCACAAAACCCAGTTTCCTTGTAGTCTTTACATATATCAGGCTGGTAATCCCACCTCACAGTGGCCCTGAGATGTTCTGGGGCTCGGATTGGTCCCTTCCTGAAATAAGAAACAAACTTGAGAAATGATGAGATGGCAGTAGAGGATAAACAGTGGTTTGATGGGGGAAAAAATGGCCTTACAATAGGCATTCACTTTTTTCAGGCCAAGGGATACACTGGTTTTTGATAAAGCAAGATCATCACAAAAAATGGTGAGAACAGGACAAAAAGCAAATTTAACTAAATGAAATACATTAATTATTTTACATACACACATATTATAATTTACATATTATGTAATATTAGAAATCAACACAAGTTTTAGAGGGGGCTCTTGGGGGCCAGAGATTGTGTACTCTCATCTTACAACATGGTTTAACACATTAGATCATCTCGAAAACCATGTAAGTTGCCCCTTCTGTTCTGTAACATTTTCAGGAAATCTCTTTGGTTTCATCTTTACCAAATGAGATTTACATTCACATGTTTAAAATTGTGGAGATATCTAGTTTCTTCTTAGAATGTAGAAAATATGTTGAGATACAAAGAGATGTGCACATTGGCTCATTGTCATAAAATATTACAAGACTCTTAAGAATAAACTAACAAGTTAACAAAAGACATCTTGAGACACCATGGTCCATTTCAAAATGAGAACAGATATGATAAGCAGATAGAAAAACGGATTAAACTGGCAAACTTTCCCATAGCATAAAATGCATCCTTAGGTACGTAACTGCACATGTTTTTTCTTGGAATGAACACTGCATTTTCTCCCTTACCTTACCATACCTGAAGAAGCATTTCCCATGGAAGTATCTTTTGGCTTTACATACTTTTGATAATTATTAATCCCTCGATAAATCTTATCATCTTCCTTTCCTTGAAGTTCCTGAACCAAGAAAAAGAAGAAAATTCAGTTGCAAGGTAATTCTTGCTCTCATGTGATCATTTACTAACTGTTGTCAGCCACCCAGAGTCACTTAGGTGAGATGGGCAGCCATACAAATCAAATCAAATCAATCCAATCATATCAACTATAAATAAATGAACTAAGTCTGTGTATGCTTCAAAATGATTAAAGAAGCAGCACTGTATCTCTTGCAAGCCCAGCATCTCTTTGCTATGCTGCTCGTTAAAGGAGACCAACTTTTTCAGGCTTCTACACAAGACTGAAAACAGGTATCATTTAAGAATGGTACAGCAGCAGAAACATAGTGAGAAATGGAAACAAAAATAAAAGTATGTAGAAGATTAAGGAGATGCTGGACATGATACAGTTCATTTGAAAATCCTGGTAGTAGACTTCTAAGCAGACATAAGGAAGAAATAATAAACACCAACACAGACAACCAGTAAGACATCTCTACCCATTGCTTGCTTGGAGACACAGAAAGACTTCAAGCAAAGAAAAAATGGAAGATAACTGACTGGGTATCTACCTTCTGGATTTGTTGGCTACGTTCAAAAATGGCTTGGGCATCTTTGTCCTTCTCTGTGTCCAGTTCATATACAGCTGTTGCTCCCATGTCCTCCGGACCCACAGGTTTCTGAAATGTGAAAACTCTATTGGTAGGGCAGAAAGGAAAATAAACCTCAGCTACTGTAAGGCCTTTATTCACATTATTAGATTTATTACCAAAAAGCTGCACATTAGCAGATGAATGGCTAAACTTCAGGATTACATAATCTACCTCTTTTTTAAAGAGAATCCAAACAGCAGGTAGGAAGAGTAAAATGAGATGTCTTTGGTTCAGGGGATGGAACAAATGGCAATCTCACTTTGCATAAGTATGCATCATCCGAGTTACATTACAAAATTTTTAAAATGGCTACCAGACCTTGGCAAAGAACTTGTCAAAACCATTAACACTAACCCCAGTTTTTCTTGCAACTGTTTAACTGTTGGGAAACAAAGCTCTTGTCAATCTATCAGAAGTCATGTCATATACTACTGTGGACTCTGTTTTAAGAATACTCATACCGCAGATCGCGTTGATTTATACGCAATTCCAATTCCTTCAGGTTTGTTATCATCATCACTACTGCTTGACCCATAGGAGGTGTTTGTCTTCATGCTTCTTTTCGTCTGGAATATGGGAGAGTCATGGAGATTAACTATTAGACTGATAAATATTCAAGAGGCAATCCATACGTACTTGGGAGAATTGATACGCAGTATACATCACCTTTTGAATCATGGGGTTGGAAACTTCCTTTCTTCGCTCCTTCCTGACCACAGTGCTACCTTCATCACTGCTGCTACCTTTAAGCAGACAGGGAATCACACAGCATTGCAAAATAACACATTAAAACAGGGGAACACTGGCAGATTGCAGCTGCCTCTCTAGAGCCCAAACTCTTTATTAGGCAAAAGATCCTTATACTCAGTTACAGTAAGTCCAAATTCACATGAACAAAGCCAAGCAATGACTGGTGTGGGTCTTCCGGGCTGTGTGGCCGTGTTCTGGAAGTTTTGTTTCCTAAC